GTTCCAGGCCAGCTGGGGCTACAGGGAGACCCTGTCTCAAAAAAACAAAAACAAAAATTTAAAAAAGCACTTGAATTTTTCAGCCAGGTGTGGTTGTACACACCTTTTACTTGGGAGACAGAGGTAGGCGGAGCTATGTGAATTCCACACCAGCCTGGTTTACATAGCAAGTTCCAGGCCAGCTGGGACTATAGGGAGACCCTGTCCCAAAAAGACAAATTAATTAATTAATTAATTTTAAAAAAGCACTTTTTATTATTTTATTTTTCAGGCAGTCTCAATATGTATCCCAGGCTAGCCTCAGACTCGCCATCCTCCTACCTCTGCCTCCTGAGCACTGCAGGGATGATAGGCATGCACCACCAGGACCGGCCTAAAGAAACTTTAAAATGGAAATTTGTATCGCTACGTTTAGAGGCATAGATCAAAAGGACTGGTCCAAGAAGATGGACATCAGTGTCGGATACCTTTTAAGTACTGAGAAGGATACAACCTGACAAGACATTAAGACTTTAATTTTAGGGGCTAAAGAGATGGCTCTGTGGTTAAGAGCCCTGGCTGCTGTTGTAGAGGTTTGGTTCCCAGCATCCATATGACAGTTCACAAACATCTCTAACTCCAGTTCCAGGGGATCTGACACGCTCTTCTGGCTTCTGTGGGCATTGCATGCATGTAATGTACTTCCATACATACAGGCAAAACACTCATACATATAAAATAAAAATAATTAAATAAAAAATTTAAAAACATTAAGAAAGAATAATTTAAAAAACTTTGAGACAGGATCTTGCTTATATTCCAGCCTGTGCTACCTGATTTTCAAAGTTTGTACCCCTGTTCCAGTGTAATTCTCTATAGTTTCCCAAAGATACTCTTTTAAAAGCAAAATATTCGCTTGCTTGGTCATTGTTATTATTCTTTTTAAACTGAACAGGACGTTGGATGCAGTCTTGGACCTTCGCTCTTGGTCAGTGTGGCCTCTGCCTGTTCTCTGGCATTGGGCGGAGCCAGTGGTTCCACAGTTCATGAGGGAATTCTTGTGATTTTTTTAAATGCAGGCTGAGTACTTTGGGTTTAAAATATTGAGATTAAATGGCACTTGCTGAATAGTTCCCTCTTGTTTCTGTTGATATTTCTCAGCCACAATTCATTGCACTGTCAGCTGCCATAACTGACAAACAAGAATTTAATTTCAGTTAAGTGCTGTGCTTTTCAAAACAACACCAAGAGGAAAGGCTTACTGCCTGCTAAGAGCACAAAAGGAACAAATTATGCAATGTTTGCTTCTCTCTATCAAGTATGCAGCAATTCAGAGGACTGGAACATTAGAGCCCTTGGGAATTAAATGTCTTATAGTATAACTATAAAAGCTTTTAATGTTTAGGGGTACCTACTAAAATACATGAACTCATGGACCCATAGTCTTAACAGGATCGAGGAAGCCGATGGAGGTAGCTGTCAGTGCAGAGCCTGCCCTTCATTCGGGCTCTGGCACCTTGTCCTGCTTGTCTTCTTCCTTTCTTCTCTCTCTCTCCCAATCTCTCTCTGTCTCTCTCTTCTCTCTCTTCTTGTTTTGAGACACAATCTCATTATGTAGTCTTGGCTGGCCTTGAACTGTCTATATAGACTAGGCTGGCCTCCAATTTATGGTGATCCTACTTCTGCCTCCTGAGTGCTGATATGACAGGTGTGTGTTGCCATGCCCAGCTGCCTTCGTGTGTGTGTATGGGAGGAGGGGCATGTGCATCCACTGTGCCTATATGAGGGTCAGAAGACAATTTTGGGGAGTTGGTTCCCTCCTTCCACTATGTTGGCTCCAGGGGTTGAATTCAGGTCCTCAGGTTTGGCACTAAGCTACTTTCCCCGCTGAGTCATCCCACCAGCCTTGCCTTTGCTTTCTTAAATGTGGGTTTCTTTCTTGTATTCAGTTGTGTCACAAGCTGCTCCATACAGCTGAAACATTCTTCATTCTCCTTTGGCAATTGAGCTCCTAAAAGCCTCTGATCCCCTCCACTGGGTGGTGGGATAACATTTTCTGGAACATGTGCTTTTTCTTTAGAGATGGTGTTTGTCGTAACTGCTCCACGAGCTCAGGGACCATGTCTAGCTTATTCAAGAGCAGAGCACAAGTAGGTACTCAATATTATGCATCAGTTAAATAAAAATTGGGCTAGGGGTATAGCTCAGTGGAAGAGTGTTTGCTTCATGCTCTAGGCCCAGGATCCAACTCCCAGCACCACACACACTAAAAAATTTGAGAGCAAAGCATGTTGAGGCACACCCATAATCCCAACACTCAGGAGACTTTGTAGGAGGATTAAGAGTTCAAGGCCAGCCTGGGCTTCATAGTGAGATCCTGTCTCAAACAACAAGATGTCAGCATTTATTAGGTGCATCATAACTTCATTGTTTCTTATCATAACTCACTAGGTAACCCTATTTCAGATGAAGAAACTAAGACTTTAGAGGTCATTTGACCAAAATCAAAGTCAACAAATTACGCTGTCAAGGTTGCAGAATTCTACTTCTATCTTCCTAGCATCCCAACTGAGACTCAGAATTAAGTTGATATAACATAGATTCATAAAAGGAAAGCATGATCCATATTTTCCTTGGAATGGAGGAAGCTCACATAAAGAAACAAAACCTGGGCCAGAGAGATGGTTCAGTGGGACAGAGGGACAGAGTGCTTGCTGTACAAGCATGAAGACCTGAGTTTGAATCTCCAGCATCCTGTAAAAAAAATCAGTCTGGCTGTGGGCACACCTGTAACCCCACTGTTGAGGGTGGAGACAGGTGCAAGTGCAGGTGCCAGTGGAGGCCAGAAAAGGGCATCAGATCCCTCGGAGTTGGAGTTGTGCGGGTAGTTGTGAGACAGCCATTATTGTCCTCTGCAAGAGCAGCAAGTGCTCTTAACTGCCGAGCCATCTAGCCAGCCCCATTTCGAGTGGTTTTCGGTATGTGTTCTCTGGGCCTGAGGGGAAATGTGTAAAATGGCTGAAGTCATTGTCAGACTGACTTTGTAATTTTGGAAATGGGGTTTCTAAAACTTTCTCAATAACATGTGCAACAACTCTAAGAAGCTTCTCTTATTTACCCCAAGTTCCTAAATCAAAAGTGAGGATATATCCATACGTTTGAGCAAGGAATGATCTCTGTATTGGGATGCTATCTTCCAGTGTTACAAGTACACTCGCCAGGTATGCCTGTGTCTTTTCATCTCAGTCACCAGACCAACCTCACCAACAGTGGGTAGATAAAGGAAGTTCCTCTTCTGGAAGATGAGAGAGGAAGGAGGTTCATTTTCCAGTATCCACGAGGCCTTAGTGAGCGTCTAAGCTGTACCAAGCACAAAACAAGAGGTGGAGCAGTGAGTTGTCTTGTTCCTGCTCTGTGCATTTCTCAGATAGGATCTTTCATCTTAAACCTTTCAAAACTCATTCTGGGCTAGGGGCCTGGTTCAGGGGTACAGCCTTGGCTAGCAGGCTCAAGACTCGGTCCAATCCCTACCAAAAAAAGAAAAGTCATAACCCTCCAAGCCACAATTCACACACACACACACACACACACACACACACACGCACACACACACACACACACAGTCTGATTCTTCCAAGATCACTAAAATCTACTAGCTGTGTGTTATGGTTTGAATGCTAAATCCCATAGGCTCATGTACTTGGTTCCCAGCTGGCAGTGCTGTTTTGAAAGGTTGTGGAACCTTTAGTAGCCTCATTGAAGGAAGTAAGTCACTTGAGATTTTATAACCTGGTCCCAATTCCTGTCTACCCTCAGATTTCTGACTGTGGACACAATGTGACCAGTTGTCTCACACTCCTGCCACGGTGCCTTCCCCTCCATGATGGGCTGTATTTCCCTCAAACTGTGAGCAAAAACAAACCTTTCCACCCTTCAGTTGCTGTTTGTCAGAGATTTGGTCTCAGGGACAAGAAAGGTTAGTAAAACACTGTGTTTATACTTACGTAGCTGTAGGAAGAGAACTCTGTAAGTTGGAATACATTTCTTCCTTCCTTCCTTCCTTCCTTCCTTCCTTCCTTCCTTCCTTCCTCCCTCCCTCCCTCCTTCCTTTCTTTCCTTCCTTCCTTTCTTTCTTTCTTTTGGTCTTTTTGAGACAGGGTCTTCCCTGCAGCCCGAGCTGGCCTGGAACTCACTGTGTAAACCAGGCTGCCTCTGCCTCCTGAGTGCTGGGATCAAAGGCATGTGCCAACACACCTAGAAAGATTTCTTTTATTTCCTATGGTCAAGTTTCCTTCTTAAAGACTTTAGGAAGAAAAACAAAACAAAACAACAAAGCCAAGTAGAACTGTTTCTTTTATTTCCTTTTCTAAAGTGAATATGAATTTATTTATTGAGTTGCTATTTAAAATAGAACTTCTGTAAGGTGATCCCGAAAAATATATTTTGTTAAGATACATACAAAGTACTGCTGCAGACCCTCCGGTAGGCCACCAAGACTTGCTCTCAAAGCCTTCGTAATGATTTCCATGGTCAGGAGCAGATTTGATCACAGTAACTCCCCAGGTGCTTCACAGCTGGTGAACTGCTTTCTCAGGTGTCCTACACAGTGTACCCAGTTTTCCTAACTACACTGGGCCCTTTTACTGCCTGCAATCTATTATAGTCAGCAATACATGTGGTAGATAAGGTAAATTAACTTCAAGAATCATAACTGTCTTGGAGAGTTCTGTGGTTACATTAACGTGACAGAAGAAGTCTTTTAGGAATTGAGGACTGGAGTGCAAGAAAACAGACTTTGGTGAAACACTGGCGTAAATGACACAAAGTCAGCCAGAGAACACGTGGCAGCCTCCCAGCCAAACCAGTGATACTAAAAATAGCAAATATGCCAGGAGTGGTAGTTCACACCTTTGATCCCACAGTGAGTTCCAAGCTAGCCAGAGCTACACAATGAGATCATATTCTATTTCAAAAAAAGAAAAAGAAAAAAAAAGAAATAGGTTCATCTTTTTTTTTTTCCTTTTGGAAATTTCTGTGTTATTTAGCCTGTGTTTATTTATTCAGTTTGTGAACCGTTAGTTTTTTGCATTGCTTCTTTTCAAAGCCTTATCAAAGACCACTGTTCCCTTTGAAGGGAGGGTTCAAAGCTATTTTGATTTGGTTTTGATTCTGTGGGAGACAATATAGAAATGGCTAGACAGAAACTTAAGGATGAATTCAACTTTGCCGTCTTCTGGTTAGTATTTCAAATGTAAAAGTGAAGCCTTGAGTTACTGAGATAACAGCTCTCTCCTACCCCTTATCCTATTTCACAGCATAGCCATAGATATGAGGCCGCACCAATGCCCAGGACAGCGGCGCCTGGATGTGCTGCAGTTTCAGCTTGGAAAAGCTGGCCTGCTCCAGAGTCTTCCAGCTTTCTCTGGTGAGATTGCACCCATCAAACAGAAGGTACCAGGCAGGATCCAGGACCTGCTGCCAGAAGTAATTCCAGGTGGACCGCTCAGCTGCTACATGCTCCATGAAATAAAAAGCCCCTCCCTGAGAAAGAAGCAAAAAACAACACGTTTCAAAGACACTGGCTTTGGGAAAACAGGTTTGTAAGGTGAGAGAAGCATCAGATTTCAGTGTCCCAGAGGCCAACTTTATGAGAAGACGCTGGTAAATTAAAACCCAGTAAGACACTGTTTGGATAAAGTAGTTCCAACTTCTCTCATATTTTGTACAGACATAGCTGGGTGTGGGAGTCCATGTCTGTAATCCCAGCTTTAGGAAGGCTAAGGCAGAAGGATCTTGAGCTACAGGCCTGCCCAGCTGACCTAGCCAACACAGTGCGACCATGACTCACAGCAAACAAACATAAATTAAAAAAAAAATTGTGTGTGTTTTGTCTGCATGTGTGTAAGTACACTTGAGTGTGCAATGCTCTCAAGAGGCCAGAATAGAGTCTGATCCCCTGGAACTGGGGTTGAGGACAGCTGTTAGCTGCCACATGGGTGCTGGGAACTGAACCGAGGTTCTTCACAAGAGCAGCCATCGCTCTTAACTCTGGAACCGTCTCTTCAGCTCCACAAACAAACTCTTATACAGAGCTGACAATCTAATTGACATAAATTTTCTGATCATAGAAGTAATGTGTAATAGCTGAAATTACACACACTTAGTGTATGTCAAGTGCTACCCTTACTGTTTATTGCATGTTAATTTTCTCAGCAGTGTTATTTATGAAACAATCAAACCACAACACCACACAATGTTGTTTAGGTGTTATTTCTGTGACTTTTTTTTTTTTAACCTGTGAGGGAACTGAGCCCAAAGTGACACTGTGTAAATGTCAGAGAGGGACTTTGAGCCTCAGCCTTTGGTTCCAGAGGCAACAGGACTGCCTCAACAACATATTTAGAAAGCTGAGAACATACAGAAATGCTTAAGAGCTAGGCCATGGTGGTGGGTGGCCCATGTCTGTAATTCCAGCATGTGAGAGGTAGAGGTAGGAAGATAAGAGGTTCAACATCATTTTCAGCTACATAGTGAAATTTGAGAGCAGTTTGGGTTACAGGAGACCCTGTGAAGAGAGAAAGAGAGAAAGAGAGAGAGCAAGGGTGAGAGTGAGAGAGTCAGTGAGAGCGAGAGAGAGATAGACAGACAGAGAGACAGAGAAAGATAGACCATGAGAGACCATCCCATCATTAGAACTCCTGGTAAATTTTATGATGTGCATTTATATTTTTTCCCTAAAAGTAGGCCTGTGATACACATTTTGTTTTGCAATTTTGTTTACTTTACTAATGTATTTGAATATTGTTCTAAAATATGATTGAGGGGGCTGGAGAGATGGCTCAATGGTTAAGAGCTGTGGCTGCTCTTGTAGAGAACCCAGGTTCGATTCCCAGCACTCACATGGTGGCTAACAACCATCCGTAGCTCCAGTTCCAGGAGATCTTCTGACCTCTGTGAGCATTGCATGACATGGGTGCACTTACATACATGCAGACGATACATTCATACACATAAAATAAAAATAATAAATAAAATATAAAAAAATAGAATAAAATAGAGCTGAATTTTTTTCTTTTTTTGTGGTAGAGCATACCACTGAAGACACCATGGCTCTTTCCAGTTTTCCAGTTCCGTAAACACTGCAGTGACTGTCAATGGTTAAGAGCACTGGCTGCTCTTGTAGAAGACCTGAGTTTGATTTCCAGCATCCACATGGCGGCTAACAGCTGTCAGTAAGGGGGAACCAACGCCTCTTCTGACCTCCGAGGGCATTGCAAGACGCAGGTGAACTTACACACATGCAGGCAATACATTCATACACATAAAATAAAAATAAATGAAACATTTTTAAAAAATAAAAAATAAAAGTGGGGATTGCTGAGTCACTGGTCTGTGTCTTTGGTATAAGTTTCAAGTTGACCTTTGAAAAACTGCATCAAACTTATATTCAAACCAGCAATAGATGCAAAGTGCCCATTTCTAATAAAGGCTTACCAACATCTGATTCTCTCTGTTTTTTCCTGCTTTTTGTTTGGTTTGGTTTTGTTTTTTTGACAAAGAATCTTGCTATGTAGCCCAGGTTGGCATCAAACTCGCCACCCTCCTGCCTTGGGGTTTCCAGTGCTGGGACTAAAGGTGTGCACCATATTTAATAATTTTTTTACAGATATATTTTTTCTATCTCTGCCAGTTTGATTTGGCAAGATGTTATTTTGTCTTCAAAAATATGTATATCTTGGGGTCTGGAGAGAGCTCAGTTGATAAAGTGCTTGCCATGCAAAGCATGAAGACCTGAACTCATTCCCAATGCCCCTCTCCCTCCATACCCATACAAAGTCACATGAATGCACACAAATAAAAATGTTTATTTTTTTTAATTCTTATAAAAGTTTCTAAATTTTGTGTCTGATTGTTATGCCTGCATGTTTGTAAGTGCCCTCAGAGGCCAGATCCCCTGGAACTGGAGTTACAGACAGTTTTTAGCTGCCTACATGTAAGTGTTGGAATTTGAACCTGGGTCCTCTGCAAGAGCAGCCAGTGCTCTTAACTGCTGAGCCGTCTCTCTAGCCCTGAGTTTATCTTTTTTAAAACAATTTACTTTTATTTTTTATTTATGTGTGTGTGTGTGTGTCTGTGTGTGTGTGTCTGTGTGTCAGTATGTGCACTTGTGTGTGGGTGCCCACAGAAGCAGAAAAGGACATTGGATCCCCTAGAGCTGGAGTTACAGGTGATTGTGAACTGCCTGATGTGGGTGCTGAGAACCAAATCTGGGTCCTGTGCAAGAGCAGCAAATGCTCTGAACTGCTGAGTCATCTCTCCAGGTCTCAAATATGTGTATTTTTAATATTCTTAATAAGTAAAACATCTTTTACTAAAAAGTTTATTGTATATTTGTATTTCTTCTTTCAGGCTTATCTATTGATAGCCTTTATTATTTTTCTTATGGAAATACTGTGTATACTGGTTTTTTTTGCTTACTGATTGGTAGTAAAGGTTTGATTATAACAAGACTATACTAGCTGGTGTGGTGACTCACATATGAACACTAGGGAGTCAAAGGCAGGAGAATCACCTGGGAGTTCAAAACCAACCCGTATACACAGTGACTTCTAAGACTGTCAGGGCCACTGGGAAGGCCCCATCCTAAATTTAGTACCAGGACTTAGGAGGTAGAAGAAGAAGGATAAGGAGTTGATGGCCAGCCTGGGGTACTGTCTCAAAGGGAGGAGGTCTAAATAGGATTAAGACATATTGTATGAAGTGCAAGCCCAGTGTGGTGGCACACACCTTTAGTATCAGTGCTTAGAAGGCAGAGGCAGCCAGGTCTACATAGTGAGTTTCAGGCCAGCTGGGGGCTACAGAGAGACCCTTGCTCCCATCAATGACCTTTTCCTCTGCATTTTGTGTTTTGAAGCCCTTTGTTTGCTTTCCCCTTTACTGTTTTCTCATTTATCATCACTTTCCTATCAACAGAGACCACTCTTCTTGGGAGTTTAGTCTTTTTTAAATTTATTCTAATTTTTTTTAAGGTTTTCATTTGTTTTGTTTTTTGACAGTCTTACTATGTAACTCAGGCTGGTCCTGAGCTCATTAGGAAGCCCTAGTTAACCTTCCTAGCCTCCTGTCTCAGCCCACCCCAGTTGCCACCACATTGCTGGGATTATAAGTGTGTACCACATCCAGCTCTTGTTCTTTTTAACAGCTGCAGACTTCCTTAGGCTGTGACAACTTCCCATGCACAGACATGTTATTTCCAGTTTGTACTACTGCAAATACTACTTACTGAGTGTCGGTACTTACAGATAAGACTTAGTATATTTGTAGCTGCATACTAAGTTTCTAATAGACAAGGGTATGCTCACTTGAGGTTTTGATATAAATGAAGGAGCATCCCAAAGCACTTCCTCCAGCGTGTGTCAGGGCGGAGTTCTCCAAATCTACTGCAGTGCCCTATTAGCAAGTCCCTGAGTGTAAAGGCAAAAAATTGTCTCTAGCTGTAATATACACATTTTAATCAAATAATTAGCTATTTCCATTTCTATTTCAGTTCCTGTTTATTGCTCATCTTTGTGTTTGTTCCTGGTGAAAACAATTAACCAAGCGCTTTTTCCGGCTAACTTTGTTTATAAGCTCTTTTCTCTGCAGCAGTTTCTAGTGTATATATGCAGATTTATCAACCCTTTGTAGCTGTCCCACTGCTCTTCTGTGATCCAAGTGTGCTTCCTGGCTGTTTGCTTTTTATGTCAGTCGAGTCTCCTGAAATTGATAGGACCTCTTGCTCATTCTGGCTGCTAGTCCACTAGTCAACCCTCACTCCCATCACTCACCGGCCTCAGCACTCGGCGCACCTCGCGGAGGATCTTCTCCTGGCTGTCCACCGAGCACAGCACCAGGGTGCAGACCACCACGTCCACAGAGCCATCAGCCACCTGGTGCATGTTCTCCCCGGCAGCCACCATGAAGCTCTCGAACTGCAGGTGTCGGTTCTCCGCGATGCTCTTGAACAAGAACTTCTCAAAGCAGGGGTTGGGGTCGACACAGGTCACCCTGCACCCAGGCGGGTAGAACTGGAAGTTGGCCCCGGTGCCACAGCCCACCTCCAGCAGGCAGAGCTTTCCGGAGGGGCCGGCGAACTCCTGCAGGTTGCTGAAGAGCTCGCGCTTCCTGCTCCCCATCTGCTCGTTGTACATCGCCGTGAACCTCCTCAGGAAGTGTGGAAACCATCGTTTGCACAGCCAGTTCCACACGCCCAGAAAGTTGAGCAGATACATGGGGAACGTCAGGATGCCCACAGCCAGCCGGAGCACTAAGATAGTGAGCGCCATCTCTGAACTAGGAAGCCAAGCGCCTGTCTGGCCGGTCTCCTTTAATTAGAGGGCCAGCTTTGGCAACGCTCCAGAGCAATGGGCCTGGCGAAAGAGCTGGTTGTGCGGGGTGGGGGTGGGGGTGGCGGT